TTCTCTTTTTCTTTTCTTTCTTTCTTTCTTTCTTTCATTCATTCAAGATTTTATTTATTTATTTGAGAGAGAGAGCATGAGAGGTGGGAGGGTCCGAGAGAGAAGTAGACTCCCCACTGAGCAGGGAGCCCGATGAGGGGCTCAATCCCGGGACTCTGGGATCATGACCTGAGCTGAAGGCAGCTGTTTAACCACTGAGCCACCCAGGTCCCCACCTACCTGGCACGTTTCTACACTGAATGTGGAAGACTCTATGGTGGATGAGTGGACGGGCTGTTGGTGAAATCTATATGAATATTTTTGAAATTCCAGCCCCCACTACATGTCAGCTTTGGAGACAAACTTCAGTGAGACAGTGTTCTGTAGTAGAGAGTGCATGGACTTCAGAACCTGTGGCCCCAACCCTGGGCAGTGCACCTGACTGCCCCAAACCCCCATTTTCTCACTGGCAAATGGGCATGTGCCTGCCTTATAGGACAGCACCTCGCTTGCATTCTGAGAGTCTAATAGGTGAAGCACTTCTCCACCAGATGACCTAACACCTGGTCCTATCCACATCATCATCGATGATCAGCAGCAGCTTTATGGTGTTATACTGAAGAGAACTTCTCTCCACGCAGTTGGACCGAGGAGCTCAAACACCTCTTTCCTAGGAGCAATACTGTGGGGAAAGTTCGGTCAGTTTGAAATTAGTTCAAGGCCTAGCTCAAGCAGTAGGCGACTGAGGTCTTGTGAGCATTGATTGAGGGGAGAGCTGTGAAAATACCTTGTAAATCCAGAGAGCTTGACTAGACTCTTAGGCAGAATGGTAAAATGCTATTATGCCATGTCAACTAAAATTTCATAAATTGGATTCCCATGCATAGTCCTTTGCAGGATCCAGGAAGGCTCCCTGTTTGAGGAGGTTCACTTTGCCTCTTTGTCTGGTTTTTGGTCTCCAAGGCCATATGCCCCCCTCTCACTGGCTGCCAGTGATGATGGGCCGGTTCTGGCCTCATCCCTGCACCAGCAGTGAGATGTTAACCTGTCTGTTGAGCGCCTGAGCCCACAGCTGCCAAGGAGACCCAGCTGGAGCTGATCTGCTGGGCTGAGTCACAGCATCTGGTTGGGACAAGTTGGGACAATCTCTTTTTAATCACAAGTATCCCCCTGGGACCTACTCAGTGCTCACCACCTTGCAAAGTTCCGAGGTATGGGTGGAGGTCAGGTACAGTTGGTCCCTTCTCCTGAGGAGGTTCTTTTTCCAGAGAGGAGGTTAGCATAATGCATTCAGTAACAACTGCGAGTTCTTCAGGACTGCCTATCATTTAGGGCTACTTTGTTTGGCAACGTGATAATTACTACAAAACCCTCTCATGCTCTCTCTCTCATGAGAGGGGAGTTCAGGGATGGTTAGCAGAGTTAGAGAAGGTTTATTACTGGTTATTTGCGGGTTGTTCACAAAAACATTCATTACTGCTGCCCAGGAGAAGGAAAATGGTGTCCGCCGAGTAGCCCAACCTGGCGGCTTCCATGGGAAAGCAGGACAGTCAAAGAGAGCCTTGCCTCAGGGTAGAACAGGATTCCAGAGGTTTAGCAGCGTCTGCACAGCTGGCCGGAGTTGACATTGCCGCTCAGGGGACAGAATTGTGGCTGGGAAATACAGGGATTGTGAGTTCAGCTCTTGAGTTTGTATTTTAATTTGTTTTGGGGACCTGCTGAGGGAGTTGGACCCTGACTTCAGGTTATCTTACAGTCTGGAAACCTGGATCCTAACCTTAGCCTTGCAGGTATTCTGCCCCTTGCTCTGCGAAGTGTAGTCTGTGGAAGGGCAGCATTATCTCGGAGCTGGTTTGAAATGCAGACCCCCAGGTCCACCTGGACTTGGGAGTCACCATCTGTGTCTTAAGGTGATTCACATGGACATCAAAGTATGAGAAGCACTGGCCTAAGTGGCAAGCTCAGGAAAGGCATGGCTTTTCTATTGTCTTCTTTATTATTTCATACCCCCAATATCTATTTCAGGTTTAACACATGGTGGCTGCAATAGCCATGAGTCTTCCTCTGACTTGGGCATATCTTGATCTCTAGGGACATCGTAAGCTTCTAGGGAACTAATCGTAAAGTGGGGTGTGCAGGGGTGGGGTAGGTGAGTGGGGTTGGGGTCAACCTTCAGTGGTTGAAAAACTGAAGTGAACATTAGAAGCACAGGTGGTGGGAGTGGTTTTGAACAACTCACAGCCTCTGAAGGTGGGTCACAGGATTTCTATTTTTTAAAAAAATTTACCATTATGTTCAAGAATGTTTATTATACTATCACATATAATAATAAGATATTTAAATATCTCTCAAGAAGAAATAGATAAAGGGACGCCTGGGTGGCTTAGTCGGTTAAGTGTCTGCCTTCTGCTCAGGTCATGATCCCAGTGTCCTGGGATTGAGTCCCACATTGGGCTCTGTGCTCAGCTGGGAACCTGCTTCTCCCTCTGCTTGTGCTGTCTCTCCCTCTGCCAAATAAATAAATAAAATCTTTAAAAAGAAGAAGAAGAAATAGATAAATACAGTGGAATACAAATCAGAAGTTCAAATAAATGAAATAGAGCTGCATGTATAAACATGAATAAATCTAAAAAATGTTTTTGGAGAGAATAAATTTGCAGAAGGATGTGTGAGGGATGGTACTATTTATTTAAAGTTTAAAATGTTCATATGTATATAATGGAAATATGCATATGTAGTAAGAATGTAAAGACCTGAATGGGGATGATAACCAAGTTCAGGGTATTGGTTAACTTTGGGAGGGAGGAAGGGAGATGGGGAGCTTTAATAGTCCCTTCATGTTTTCTTTCTTTTTTTTTTTTTTAAAGATTTTATTTATTTATTTGAGAGAGAGTGAGAGAGTGAGAGAGAGAGAGAGAGCACGAGAGTGGGGTGAGGGGTAGAGGGAGAAGCAGACTCCCCACTGAGCAGGAAGCCCGATGTGGGACTCAATCCCGGGGCTCCAGGATCATGACCTGAGCCGAAAGCAGACACTTAACCGACTAAGCCACCCAGGCGCCCCATGTTTTTTCTTAAAAAAGGAAGAGTAAAGAAAAAAACATTGCAGCAGCAAACATGGAAGAACAAGATTTTCCCCAAAGGAACAAATACATAATTATTCATGATATTGTTTTCTATAATTTTTCTGAATGTTTTAAATATTTCATTATAAAATGACTAAAACAAAAGTCTCCTGGTGATTGTGATGCAGGCAGTTGACCTTTGGGAATTCTTGCCTTCGATGCTTCTAGGGGCTTTTCAGTTCTAAATGTGTTGTGTGCCGAGAACTCTCCCCCAAGCATCTCTCTTATTCTTGTAGATGGCCGATGCCTATCAGGCTGTGCCCAAGGCCTGTGGCTTCCTTGTGTTCTGTTCTGATGAGATGCAGCCACTTCTCATGTTGGCGATGTTGGCAAAACCCACCAATCTAACTCTACTTTGAGGACCTAGCCTACAAGGGCCTCTTCCCTGTTGTCTCCTTCTCTCCTTTATTAAAGGAGAAGTTCTGTCCTACAACTACCATAATCTTAGAGCTCTAACCTCCTGCCTCCCCATCCCCAACGTGCATTTATTTTCGGAACACCTTCATTGACATTTCAGTGGAAGGACTTAGTATCCGTGTGGATCCCAAGAGTTTTCTTTGCCTACCCCAAGCATCACCATTTGAAATCAGTTCTCCTGTTGCTGTATCTGCTTTTGTAACTTCTTTCTATCCCAGAAATGTCCCTAAAATTTAATCAATAAGGATGATACCTACTAGTCTGTGACTCAGGAAGGTTAAGAAGGACGAACTGGCTCTAGCGGCTCGTGCCAAAATGGACTTTCAAATTTAATTTAATTTTGTTGTTATTATTTTTTAATGCAGTCTGTAGTGGTAGTTCTAAACTAAGGATGATTCCCTCCTCCCTGCCCCCAACCGAGGGGACATTTGGCAATGTCTAGAGACATTTCTGGTTTCCAAACTTAGGGGAGTGCTACTAGCATTGGGTAGGTGCTAAACATCCTAATGCACAGAAAAACCCTACCCCCCCCCCGTAACAAAGAATTAGCCAGTCCAAAATGTCAGTAGTGCCAAGATTGAAAAACCTGGTTTTACGCATCCTTGTAACATGACTATCCCCCTATCAGTGAGGGAGAGTGATTAGGCTGTACCTCTGTTAGTGTGGGACCGTGAAACAAGGGATACAGGAGTCCCTGTGAATATGTGTATAGACCATTCCTGCATCATCTTCACTGCATGGTGTGGGCTAAGGAGTCAGTGGTATTGGAGATGGAGGATGAGAAGAGATTAAGGAAAACCTGGAGAGGAACAGAGTCCAGGTGGTGGGAGAGCAGAGAGAAGCTGCCTCTGATGCCTTTGAACTTGGCACCTTGCTATAAACAGTACCCTCATGCCATAGAAGTACAGGATAGGGTATTTAAAAATATTCCCAATGAAAAATATGGTAGATAGTTACAGGGATGGCCTCTGGTGAGTTGTGCTATCCTCCGCCCACACTTGTCTGCGTTGTGATTTCGCCATTTCTCTCATCAGGAGGTGGAGTCTGTTTTTCCACCCCAGGCGTCTGGGCTAGCCTTGTCACTTGCCTTGACCAAAAAAGTGTTGATGTGTGACTTTTGGGGCCATTTAGCTTTGTTTTTCTCCCTGTTAGAGCCTTTCTGCCATCATGTGAGGAATCTCAGCCTGACATAGTCAGGCATTCGGCTGGTCCGGCCCCGCATAGCTCCCAGCCAACCTCCCAGCTCAGTGAGCTCGCATGAAATGAGCTTGTGTGCCCAGCCAGTCCACAGAAGAGTGTGGAATAATAAATTGTAGTTATTTGAGGCTGCTAAACTTTGGGGTAGTTTCCTACACAGCAATAGATAACTGGACATTGTATGTAAGTGACTTCGTCTGAAGCAGTAAGATGATGTATTTGCCTTAGGATGTTGTGTAACTCTCTGATCATGGTTAAGAGTTCTTCCTCCTTTGTTTCTCGTAGCACTTCTCAGAACTCCTGGATGAGTTTTCCCAGAACGTGTTGGGTCAGCTCCTGAATGACCCTTTCCTCTCAGAGAAGAGCGTGTCGATGGAGGTGGAGCCATCCCCAACATCCCCGGCGCCTCTCATCCAGGCCGAGCACAGCTACTCCCTGTGTGAGGAGCCTCGGGCCCAGTCACCATTCACCCACGTTACCACCGGTGACAGCGTCCATGACGGTAAACCCAGAGCAGGGACAGCACCTGGGACCACGGCACCTTTGCCTCTGAGCTCCTCGGGGTGTGCAGTGTTTGTTACATTCTTGTCGGCACCCACTTTAGCCACATACCTGCTCCATGTAAAGCCTAGGGCTTGGGCTGTGGGGAAATACAGAGGGGTGTGGGGTGCATTTCTTTACCCCTGGCTGGGTCCTCTGGGAACTTGCTATCTCTGAATGGTAGTCGTTGCTTTCTTTGACCCTGTGGATTGGGCAGCAGAGCATCCTTTTGCAAATCAGGTTGGCCTATCTGGTTGATAATTCCAGGAAGTCCGTTGTTTTAAGAGGTCATGTCATTTTTTTCTGAGGAAGAATTTTTCTGACCACTCTTCTCCACAGAAGCTTCTTGGGCATCCTCTTAACCCATATTCACTATGTTCCCTTGACCACATGTATATGAGATCTTGGTGAGCATTCCTAGTATTCTTGGTGACCCTTTCTTGCCCATCATCAATGCTGTCAGTATGGTATTTGTTGAAGACCTAGTTTTCTTGGCTTTAGAGTATTAAGCTGTTTGGCCATTTGTCTGTAGAGTGGCTGTCTTCCATGTCTGAGCTCCTTTATCACATATTATCAGTGCCTTAAAGTATAGCCATTCATTCACCGTGTGGTTCTTGAGTTCACAGGCGAGACATTGAAGGAAATACAAAGAAAAAAATATGCACGTTCCTCTTCTAGAACTTATCATGTGGGGAACATGAGAAATGTACACAATCGACAGTAACAATGTTGAAATATGCTAAGGGTGGTGGTGAAGGTGATGTGCTCTGCAGTCAGACCTCAGTTTAAGATCTATGTCAGTGACTAGTTAGGGGCAAACTACTTAATATCATCAAACCTCAGGTTCCTCATGTGTAAAAGTAGGATAAAAACAGCATCGACTTCATGTCCTGTTGTGAAGATTAAACATGAGAATCTATGCCAGCGCCTAGCCCAGGACCTGACTCATAGTAAGGATATTGTTCTTAGCTGCTGTTGCAATCACTATTATTCCAAACCAGGAACTATAAGAGGATGGCAGGACCTTAGGTGGTCAGGAAGTTTTTGTGGAGGATTTCTCAATTTCCCAGGCTGTGTGCTCCAATGAAATATGATAATGGGTTCCTTCCCGTCAAACTTACTGTGGGATTATTTTCTTTTTGTTAGTTTAGTCTTCATATGTCTGTTAGATTCAGTGAATTTGCTTTAGATTATAATCTTTAAGAGGGCAGGGACAAACTACAAATCTGATGGAGCTGGTTTCTTAGGACTAATGAATGGAAATATTTCTCTGGATAGTAGTTAGGATACTCAAAAAGTCAGGACTCCAAGGAGTTATATGGGATGAAGATATAAAAAGATTCAAGAAGAATATTCACTTTTGTTCATAGTCATTCCTTATTGCAAAATCTCAAACAGTTCTCCATTGTTCTATAGAATGAAGCTGACCTCACGGCATGGCTTTTGAGGCCCTTTGTGGGCTGCTCCTACCTCCCTTCCCTACCTTGTCCCATTGCTCCCTGTCTGCATGGCTCTGGCATTGAATTCCCCACTCCATGCTTTACACTGCTTTCTCTACTCTGAGTTTCCATTACCTTCTCTCACCCTCTTGTCAGCCCCACTAGTTGAATTCCCACCGATCCCTCAAGACTCAACTCAGTGTCATCAGAGTCAGACGACCCTTCCATCTGGAAGTTGTCAGCCTTAATGTTTTCATAGTGCTGTTATTGTTTGTATGTTTATTTGTTTCATTTTTGCCATTTTTGTGAAGACTATTACACTTGTCTTATATTTCAGCTATTATTTATTTTTCTGTTCTCTATTTTGAGCTGGCTGTGAGCAAGTGTGATTATGGGTTCCTCGTACTTGCTTGGCACTTTGAAGGTATCTGATGAACAGTTATTTCGTTGAATTAATTGTGCAGTAAGTTGTTAAGGGAGAAGGTATGGAAGACTGAAGCACGTTCCTCATCTCTGGTGATGGTGTCAGGGAAGACACCTATTCTGTTCTTCCATGCATTGCTAGCTCTCTAATGATGCAGATACACTGGGCTGTGAGCATTTGATCAGGTGGTATTTCTTGGCTTATAGCAGCTGTCTTGTGTAGAAGCAAACAGAGTGCCATGGAGAAGCAGATATTTTATAAATGCTTTATGATTCACTCTTAAAATTCACTTCATAGTGATCTATTGAGTAACTACTTTGTACTGCACCTGCCAGGGACTGTCCTAAGCATTGAGGGTAAAAGAGCTAACACAATGAACAAAGATCTCTGCCCCTGTGGAGTTTACATTCTAGGAGATAGGGGTGGAGTAGAAAATAAGAAAAGGAAAGAAGTTGGGAGAGCGCCTGGGTGGCTCAGTTGGTTAAGCGACTGCCTTCGGCTCAGGTCATGATCCTGGAGTCCCTGGATCGAGTCCTGCACTGGGCTCCCTGCTCTGCAGGGAGTCTGCTTCTCCCTCTGACCTTCCTCTCTCTCATGCTCTCTACCATTCTCTCTCTCTCTCAATAAATAAATAAAAATCTTTAAAAAAAAAGAGAAGGAAAGAAGTAAAATATATGGTTTATTAGATGGTGATGAGCGATATACAGAAAAATAAATCAGAAAAAAGGGTAGGAAGTTGCTGGGGGAGGTGGGCTGGTGTCTTAGTCTATTGAGTCTGCTTTAACAAAAATCCCGAAGACTAGGTAGCTTATAAACAACAGGAATTTCTTCCTTACAGTTCTAGAGCCTGGAAGTCGCAGATTAGGGTGCCAGCAGAGTTGGGTGAGAGCCTTCTCCGGTCGCAGACTTCCTGTGCTATCCTTACTTGGTGGAAGGGGTGAGGGAGCTCACTGGGGTCTCTTTAATAAGGGCACAGTTTCCATTTGTGTGGGCTCCATCCTCATGACTTAAGCACCTTCCAAAGACCCTCCACCTGATACATCACATGGGGCATTAGGATTTCAACGTAAGAATTTGCGGGGAGCACAAACATTCACACCAAAACAGGGGAGGAGGAATTGAAATCTTAAATGGGATAGACAGAGCCAAGGCCCTTCTTGGAAGGTAGTGTCTGAGTAAAGATCAGCAGGAGATGAGCTAAAGAACTAGATGTCTCAGGAAGAGGCTTCTAGGCAGAGGAGACAACAAGAGCAGAGGGCAGAGGTGGTGTGGCTGGAGTCCTAACCACAGAGCCACACTTACAGTGAGACATTAGCATCTGTGGAGTCGGCAGCCATTCTGCAGACTTGCTGTTCTAGAATATGCAGACTAGAGAAGGCCTCAATGATCTAGGCAGATTGACCTTCCCCTTCAATTCCACATGTTTGTTGAACACCTGCTGTGTGTCAGGCGCCATCCTACCTACTTAAAGGACACAATAGTGAAACTTAGATCCTACCTCTAAGTAACTCAGAGTCTAGTGAAAGTGCCACGTACCCCCGTACTTTACCAGACGGAATATAAGCAATGTCCCAAGGGGAGATGAAACTGTAGAAGTTCAGAGCAGAGGGAACATGCCCAAGGAAGATCATAGGAAAGGTTGCATGAATGAGGCAGAGCTTCCTGGGGCCTTGAAGCACTGAGTAGAGTTGGAACAGTGGCCGTGGCCACTCCCAACAGAGGGAGGCCTGAGGGCAAGGACATTGATTCTTCTAAAGCAAGATCTCTAGTGAAATGACTGCAAATAAGCGGGTTTCTGAAAGCAGGGTCTCGTCCTCTCCCATGATGAAATGATTTCTTCATATTTTAATTGTAATCGATTGGAATGTAACGTAGGGGAACTCATGAGTGCCACCTATGCCAATGGTATTGGGGAAAAAGAATCAGTGGGTCTTTTCCAGGAAGGCTTTCTTATCATTAGGCCAAAGTGCACACCTTTTAGTGCCCTCACCTCATGCCTTGTTCTATTTATAGATCCCATGCTGCAATAGGCCTGTGCCAGTAACTTGCTGAGAACAGTTAATAGTGGGTCAAATATATTTTGCAAAGGGTTTCCGATCCACAGTTGATGTTCAAATATTGGTATTTCTCTGAGTTAAAGACACCTTTCTCAGCCAGCAAAAGCACTTGTATCAGTAGGGAATAATGAACAAGGAGAGTAATCATTTGGACTGTGCGAAAATCAAAGTTAGACAGTGTACATGAATAGATGGGGAGCTTTCCTGGGAAAGCTTTGTCCAGGTCTTAGCTTCCAGTGTTTTTCTGAGTTTTGGGTGAAGGGGCAGATGTTTGGGAACAGAATTATTGTATTCATTTGAACCCCAATTTGGATCTGCCTTGAGGGAGGACCAATCCCAAGGATCCCTCTTGTGCCACGTGCTCTGTCAAGCAGATCCCCTCCCTGTTGGAGAAGGGGGATAGCTCTTTAGGAAGTGCGTCAGGAGGCAGCCTTTAAAAGTTGCTGTTCACATTAAATTTAATATTCTTTTTCTCTTGCATTGGGAAACAGCTTAAGCAGAACTAGGAGTCCTTGTTTCTAGGGACGGATAGTGAGTCAGTTATTTTATTATACCTGGGAAAACTAGTGATTCATACCTCCTTGTCCAATTTTCCTTAGATTAAGTGGAATTCTTCCATAGTTGCCTCTAAGCTAGAAGAAAGTAATATACAGTTTGAGTAGACCCTGTCCTAGTTTATTAGGATTTTTCTCCCTCTTTCTCCCCTTTACCCTCTCTTCTTCTATCTGCCATGTCTTCCTTCTTCTTTGTCCTTCCTTGTTCTTTCCCTGCTAACTCTCTCTTCTCCCCCTCCCTCCCTCCTTGAACCGCAGGCCAGTTACATAGGGCATATGTAGTGCTCTTATCCTATTAACTTGTCATGGACCCAGATGGACTGTAGATCCCTAAAATTATATACAACATTTGGGCTCTATCTACATTCATCAGTTCTTCTGGTGAGAGCATCTATACCTTTTTTTAGATCCTCAAAAGAGTCTGTGATGCCCCCCCGCACCTCCAAAAGAGGTTGAGAAACACTCGTCTAAGATTACATAGGAGTCAT